TCCTTCCTAGTGCGACTGTGTGCCACTCCACCCTTGGGCGGAACATGACGGAACTTAGAAAGACCCAGCTGGAATCTGACTTGAAAAACGTAAAAATCTCAAGAGTCCCACATCGGTAAACAATAGTAAACTGAGGTACCCCACCAAACAAAAAAAAAGGCTTGAAAATATTATGAAGGGGTTCATGCTTGTGCACAAGAGAGCTCAACCACCCCAATATGTTTATTTAATGTATTTTCAAGGGGTTCAACCATCTCAAGCCCTACAATGGCCGTTCAACCTCTTCCGTGTCACAGTTTTCCTCTTCTTGGGTATGTTGCATCTCTTGCGCGTCACAGTTTCTCTCTTCTTGGGTATGTTGAATTTCTTGCATGTCACAGTTTTTCTCTTCTTCGGTATGTTGAATCTCTTGCGTGTCATAGTTTTTCTCTTCTTGGGTATGTTGAATCTCTTGCGTGTCATTGTTTCTCTTCTTGGGTATGTTGCATCTCTTGCATGTCACAATTTTTCTCTTCTTGGGTATGTTGAATCTCTTGCGTGTCATAGTTTTTCTCTTTCTGGGTATGTTGAATCTCTTGCGTGTCATAGTTTTTCTGTTCTTGGGTATGTTGAATCTCTCGCGTGTCACAGTTGTTTCTCTTCTTGGGTATGTTGCATCTCTTGCACGTCACAGTTTCTCTCTTCTTTTCTGCTTTTCAAAGTGCTGGTCGTAGGGCATGACGTCGTCTAGCTCGGTCGTTGGCAACAAATGTGCAGCAACTCATTCGAAATCCATCCTCCATCTTCACTTGCTTCAAAGCGGATCCCCAGTCAAATAATCAAAGATCATCGATGATCATCAACTATCCGATTATCAATCTTTAACGACTCCAATGACCAAAAGCATTGGTCTGATGATAATTTCCAGTACATTGGAGTACATGTTCTTTTTTCTTTTAAGGTTCACCCCCGCTTTCCCAGCCAGGACACGATGCAACCCTCAAAGAGGCCGACCACCGAAATACACGGAGGTACCATGACGAACTCACAACTGCGTCGTAATGACTTTGGAGATATGATGAGATATGATGAGATATGTACAGTGTATGATGCATCGTTGAAAATCTCCTAGTTGTGCATCGTTCATGGTTTCAAGTTGCAGCAGACCTCCATGCATCACTTGTTTGGGATATTTCTTGAGTTCCACCGTTTTCGTGGATGGATGCTTTGTGTATCAATTTGCAATAGGGTGGATATCGGTGGGTAATCATTACAAGTGGATATTGTTGGGTACCCATTTGGTATCCGTTTGGTATCTATGCGACAATGGTCCAATCATCCATGCGACATTTGGTATCCATTTGGTGTCCTTGCGAAACAACGGCCAAATAAAGGTTAATGGCGAAGTAAGGCAATGGCTTATCAATTGCTATTTGATGGTCAATCAACTGCCAATGAAATAATATTCCGCGGAGAATTTGTAGCTTTATAGTCAACATTCAATAGTTTCTACTGTAAGCGAGTATGTCTCAAAATGTTAGGTATCCAACATAAGTACCAAAAGTGATTAAAATAAGCCAACAGTTTGGGTGAGTTAATCATGACCAGTTTTAAGTGACCTGAAATCCCGAATGATAGATCCAAGCTTTGGTCGGGCCACTGCATCCACGGCATCGTCCACACCCTCATAGGACTCGCAAACACCTGCCACGTCGGGGTGAGGTCTACGACTGATGATAGTACTGCAACTCCAAAATCTTGGAGGATTTGCAACTTCAAAGTCTTCAAAAGTTTGGCATCCGGGAACCAACTTCCAGGGGTTGTGACTACCTAAGCCGAGAGGAAGGACTTGCTAGCCGCCATTCTTGGCATTCCAGGAGCTCAAGTGATTCTATGTTAGATTCCCCCTATCCCTTCACTGGCGCCTGGATCTGCTTGAAGAGATCTGGTCGATCCTCAACTGAGGACGGACCGTACAAGAAATGCAGAGCGTTCAATCAGCTAATCGGATCAGAAAGCCATGAAAACTGCAAACTGTGCAAGGTTCAGAGAACTGAAACGAGTACATGTGATCTTTCAAAGTGGTCTTGCAAAGCAAGTCACGCGCTTGCAGTCAGTTGTGTGCATAAACCACATCTCACAGCTTACAAAGCAACTCTTGGGTTCACTGACCGATGGGTTGAGTTCTCCGTCCTGTCAGTATTCCGTCTGGTTGACATTCAAGAAATCCCAGCTGCAAATGCGGAAGGGGTTCCATGAGACTTCTATGCTTCACGAAACACTGGAAAATCGGATCTATACCTCTTTGCATGCTCTCAAAACAAGGATCTACGTGGGAGTTGGTCACTTTTTCAATATCAGTCCACTGAGCCATGAAAAGGAAATACTATCGTGTCATTTTCCCAAATTGGATGGTGATCATCCCACATTCCCAAATATATCTGGTAGTATGACTGTCTATAAGGATCAGAATCATCCCATTTATTTTTTTGTCATGGCGCCCTCTCCAACATAACGGCTCCACTGTGAATTGGAAACCTGTGCGCTGCGGCCAAAAATGCGTACACAGGATAGGTATAGAGAGATACAAAGAGAAATGGGTAGATAGATAGACAGCTAGATAGATAGATGGATGGATAGATAGATACATAGATGGGCAAAAAAAAGATAGGAAAGGATGAGACAGGAAAGCAATCCAATCTTGGAGGATAGGTGGAAAAGTGGACAGGTGGACTGGATCAGATAAGATTTTAGGTAAGATCAGATTAGTTCAGATTGGACAGAGAGCTCAATTGATGGGAACCTGGCTATATGGATCACTGTAGGGATAAGTTACCATCAGCTACTACCAAGCCATTCACTGACTCAACATGGCCATGGCACCTTGACTGCTATCCCCCGGGTAGGTCGCAGTGAAAAACATATCTCCTCACCCTCTGCAGAGTTGAAAGGTCAACACCCTCTGCACTTCTTAATTTTTCCGGTGCTGCGGGGAGTCCCAGTCTGAGAACTAGTGATTCATAAAGGGCTCCATGGAATCCAAGCCTAAATCCAGGTCCGGCTACATGAAAGAATCAGCCATTTATCCAGTACTCCATTTATCCATCTCTAATTTTGTGGTATTGGGGGCTGCCCAATTCCCAACTCCAAACCGACCCAAATAAAGCAGAACTATGTCCGATCAACACAAAAATTGTCCAAACCCAGGGACCAACACTTGAGTAAGCAACATTACATGTCCTGATCAAGCATTTTTGCCGGATAAATATCACCAATGTTTCTGATCAATGAAGGCACTGACAGTGAAGGCTGATCCCTGACTTGTCATCATAGTCCAGTAACATCAAACACAAAATCAAACAACTACATCGACGACAAAATCCTTTCATTGCAAAGCACTGGTCTAATGGATCAAACAATCAAACTTATCTAATGGATCAGCCAACTATCAGCCAGGCATCTGAAAGTTTGATAAATGTCCGTTCGACTGCCTGCGCCGAGCAGTCCCATTGAAGAGAATCATGTCACCGCATCAAAACTTTGGCAAATAGGCCTAGCTCTAGCCATGCCCGCATCGGACTCACAGCATTCTCAATGAGCACCTCAGTGAGAAACTGCACTCACAACGCCCATTAGAAACCGAAATGCCAACATTCAAAAGGAACCTCCATGCTATGTAAAAACATCATGCAATTGCATACATCAAACATCACAGTCGGAGTGTCCAAACATCCATGTGAATTCACTCGGCGACGAGAAATGAGCCCCCAAGTCCATACATCCGCTGCTGCGAGAGGTCATTTTCTGAGAGGCACTTGGGGGCGAGACTTTGGAGGCAGGTGCACCAAAAAGCTTCTCCAACCCAGGCCTGAAGCAACATGAAGCAAGATGAAGCAAGATGAAGCAAGATGAAGCAAGAGTTGCTTCAATGTGAAGCCTTGTCGTTGCAGCCCTTCATCGTATGAATTGGGTGATCAGAGATGATCAAAGCCGTGACCAGTGACCAACATGCTCTGCATGCTGAGGGCTTCACTTTTTGAGGGTTGTAAGTGGGTTTTGATCATCAATGCCTCAGTCAAAGGTTTTGCATCACCGCAAAACAAGACCATGATCCCATTTTCCGCGGATGGGTGTAAATCTCAAAGTCATTGCCACCTTCGAACCTTGCAGTGCTCCATTCTGCATCGAATGCCTTCTCACTTGTTTCATTCGCAAATCACAATATTTTATCCAAAGCAATCAATCATTCGTGTAAACCACACCAGTCAGATTCCAATGATCACAAGTTGTGTGCCTAAACCACTATTGATCATTGATTAACCAATTATGCAAACCATATCTTAATCGTGATTCATGGACATTTAATGGATTCAATGGATCATCCATATATTAATCATACACTGACCATGAATAATTGGTTGAAATTCTATGGACATACCATATGTTCAGATGCGGATACACTCAAAGCAGCTAACTATGACCAGCGGCTGAGTGAAGGTCGACCACGGCAGGCTTCAAGGCTGCGCCTGCCCATACCACTGGATGAGTCAATGGGTCTGGAAGGTGATGGTAGATGACTCGTTGATGCTTGTGATGGTGCTTGTAGATGATTGTAGGTGATGGTAATAGATATCAAGCCATAGACGGGTTCTTATTTTTGATGGGTTCTTCCTATCATAAAGACTTGGATCAAAGGTTCATATGTTCTTACTATCATAAAGACTTGGCTTGATCAAATTGATCAAAAGACTGATCAGAAATGGCTGACATATCAATGGCTTCCTGTTTCAAACGACTTGGCATTGCGACAGATCACCCAGCCATGACCTGGAAGCTCATGCACTTCCTCAGTGGAATTCGGCCAAGGATCAGAAGGATCACTCATGACTCAGAAACGGCTATTCTGAAATATTCTGAAGGATCAATTGATGGATGAATGGCAGAGGACATCCAAAAACCCCAGCAAGCCTGACACCCAAAACTGGGGCCCAAGCAATGCATTGCTTTTGAAGCTTTCTGCTCGAGACTTTAGCCCCTCTTGTTAACCTCGACACTGCTCTTTAGCCCCTTTTGTTAACCTCGACACTGCTCTTTAGCCCCTTTTGTTAACCTCGACGCTATACTCTTTAGCCCCTCTTGTTAACCTCGACACTGCTCTTTAGCCCCTTTTGTTAACCTCGACACTGCTCTTTAGCCCCTTTTGTTAACCTCGACACTACTCTTTAGCCCATTTTGTTAACCTCGACACTACTCTTTAGCCCCTTTTGTTAACCTCGACACTACTCTTTAGCCCCTCTTGTTAACCTCGACACTACTCTTTAGCCCTTTTTGATAACCTCGACACTACTCTGTAGCCCCTCTTGTTAACCTCGACACTACTCTTTAGCCCCTTTTGTGAACCTCGACACTACTCTTTAGCCCCTCTTGTTAACCTCGACACTACTCTTTAGCCCCCATTGTTAACCTCGACACTACTCTTCAGCCTCTCTTGTTAGCCTCGACACTACTCTTTAGCCCCTCTTGTTAACCTCGACACTACTCTTTAGCCCCTTTTGTTAACCTCGACACTATACTCTTTAGCCCCTCTTGTTAACCTCGACGCGCTACTCTTTAGCCCCTCTTGTTAACCTCGACACTATACTCTTTAGCCCCTCTTGTTAACCTCGACTATACTCTTTAGCCCTTTTTGATAACCTCGACACTATACTCTTTAGCCCCTTTTGTTAACCTCGACACTACTCTTTAGCCCCTCTTGTTAACCTGGACACTATACTCTTTAGCCCCTCTTGTTAACCTCGACACCTCTCTTTAGCCCCTCTTGTTAACCTCGACACTACTCTTTAGCCCTTTTTGATAACCTCGACACTACTCTTTAGCCCCTTTTGTTAACCTCGACACTATTCTCTTTAGCCCCTCTTGTTAACCTCGACACTACTCTTTAGCCCCTCTTGTTAACCTCGACACTACTCTTTAGCCCCTCTTGTTAACCTCGACGCTATACTCTTTAGCCCCTTTTGTTAACCTCGACACTACTCTTTAGCCCCTTTTGTTAACCTCGACACTACTCTTTAGCCCCTTTTGTTAACCTCGACACTACTCTTTAGCCCCTCTTGTCAACCTCGACGCGCTACTCTTTAGCCCCTCTTGTTAACCTCGACACTATACTCTTTAGCCCCCCTTGTTAACCTCGACACTACTCTTTAGCCCTTTTTGATAACCTCGACACTACTCTTTAGCCCCTTTTGTTAACCTCGACACTATACTCTTTAGCCATCTTTAGCCCCTCTTGTTAAGCTCGACACTACTCGACACTACTCTTTAGCCCCTTTTGTTAACCTCGACACTATACTCTTTAGCCCCTTTTGTTAACCTCGACACTATACTCTTTAGCCCCTCTTGTTCACCTCGACACTACTCGACACTACTCTTTAGCCCCTTTTGTTAACCTCGACACTATACTCTTTAGCCCCTTTTGTTAACCTCGACACTACTCTTTTGCCCCTCTTGTTAACCTCGACACTACTCTTTAGCCCCTTTTGTTAACCTCGACACTACTCTTTAGCCCCTCTTGTTAACCTCGACACTACTCTTTAGCCCCTTTTGTTAACCTCGACGCGCTACTCTTTAGCCCTTCTTGTTAACCTCGACACTACTCTTTAGCCCCTCTTGTTAACCTCGACACGCTACTCTTTAGCCCCTCTTGTTAACCTTGACGCGCTACTCTTTAGCCCCTCTTTTGTTAACCTCGACACCTCTCTTTCGCCCCTTTTGTTAACCTCGACACTACTCTTTAGCCCCTTTTGTTAACCTCGACACTACTCTTTAGCCCCTTTTGTTAACCTCGACACTACTCTTTAGCCCCTCTTGTTAACCTCGACACTACTCTTTAGCCCCTTTTGTCAACCTCGACACGACTCTTTAGCCCCTCTTGTCAACCTCACACTACTCTTTCGCCCCTTTTGTTGACCTCGACACTATACTCTTTAGCCCCTTTTGTTAACCTCGACACTATACTCTTTAGCCCCTTTTGTTAACCTCGACACTACTCTTTAGCCCCTTTTGTTAACCTCGACACTACTGTTTAGCCCCTTTTGTTGACCTCGACACTATTCTTTAGCACCTCTTGTTAACCTCGACACTATTCTTTAGCACCTCTTGTTAACCTGGACACTACTCTTTAGCCCCTTTTGTTAACCTGGACACTACTCTTTAGCCCCTTTTGTTAACCTCGACACTACTCTTTAGCCCCTTTTGTTAACCTCGACACTACTCTTTAGCCCCTTTTGTTAACCTCGACACCTCTCTTTCGCACCTCTTGTTAACCTCGACACTACTCTTTAGCCCCTTTTGTTAACCTCGACACTACTCTTTAGCCCCTTTTGTTAACCTCGACACTACTCTTTAGCCCCTCTTTTGTTAACCTGGACACTACTCTTTAGCCCTCTTTTGTTAACCTGGACACTACTCTTTAGCCCCTTTTGTTAACCTCGACACTACTCTTTAGCCCCTTTTGTTAACCTCGACACTACTCTTTAGCCCCTTTTGTTAACCTCGACACTACTCTTTAGCCCCTTTTGTCAACCTCGACGCGCTACTCTTTAGCCCCTCTTGTTAACCTCGACACTACTCTTTAGCCCCTTTTGTTAACCTCGACACTACTCTTTAGCCCCTTTTGTTGACCTCGACACTACTCTTTCGCCCCTTTTGTTGACCTCGACGCTACTCTTTCGCCCCTTTTGTTAACCTCGACACTACTCTTTAGCCCCTTTTGTTGACCTCGACACTACTCTTTAGCCCCTTTTGTTAACCTCGACACTACTCTTTAGCCCCTTTTGTTAACCTCGACACTACTCTTTAGCCCCTTTTGTTAAGCTCGACGCTACTCTTTAGCCCCTTTTGTTGACCTCGAGACTATTCTTTAGCCCCTCTTGTTAACCTGGACACTATACTCTTTAGCCCCTTTTGTTAACCTCGACACTACTCTTTAGCCCCTTTTGTTAACCTCGACACTACTCTTTAGCCCCTCTTGTTAACCTCGACACTACTCTTTAGCCCCTTTTGTTAACCTCGACACTACTCTTTAGCCCCTTTTGTTAACCTCGACACTATACTCTTTTGCCCCATCTCTGACCCTTAACCTCGACACTACTCTTTAGCCCCTTTTGTTAACCTCGACACTACTCTTTAGCCCCTCTTGTTAACCTCGACACTACTCTTTAGCCCCTTTTGTTAACCTCGACACTACTCTTGCCCCTTTGTTACCTCGACACTATTCTTTAGCCCCTTTTGTTAACCTCGACACTATTCTTTAGCCCCTTTTGTTGACCTCGACACTACTCTTTAGCCCCTTTTGTTGACCTCGACACTACTCTTTAGCCCCTTTTGTTAACCTCGACACTACTCTTTAGCCCCTTTTGTTAACTTCGACACTACTCTTTAGCCCCTCTTGTCAACCTCGACGTGCTACTCTTTAGCCCCTTTTGTTAACCTCGACACTACTCTTTAGCCCCTTTTGTTAACCTCGACACTACTCTTTAGCCCCTTTTGTTAACCTCGACACTACTCTTTAGCCCCGTTTGTTAACCTCGACACTACTCTTTAGCCCCTTTTGTTAACCTCGACACTACTCTTTAGCCCCTTTTGTTAACCTCGACACTATTCTCTTTAGCCCCTCTTGTTAACCTCGACACTACTCTTTAGCCCCTTTTGTTAACCTGGACACTACTCTTTAGCCCCTTTTGTTAACCTCGACACTACTCTTTAGCCCCTCTTGTTAACCTCGACACTACTCTTTAGCCCCTTTTGTTGACCTCGACACTATACTCTTTAGCCCCTTTTGTTAACCTCGACACTATACTCTTTAGCCCCTTTTGTTAACCTCGACACTACTCTTTAGCCCCTTTTGTTAACCTCGACACTACTCTTTAGCATCTTTTGTTGACCTCGACACTATTCTTTAGCACCTCTTGTTAACCTCGACACTACTCTTTAGCCCCTTTTGTTAACCTCGACACTACTCTTTAGCCCCTTTTGTTAACCTGGACACTACTCTTTAGCCCCTTTTGTTAACCTCGACACTACTCTTTAGCCCCTTTTGTTAACCTCGACACTACTCTTTAGCCCCTTTTGTTAACCTCGACACCTCTCTTTCGCACCTCTTGTTAACCTCGACACTACTCTTTAGCCCCTTTTGTTGACCTCGACACTACTCTTTCGCCCCTTTTGTTGACCTCGACACTATTCTTTAGCCCCTTTTGTTAACCTCGACACTATTCTTTAGCCCCTTTTGTTGACCTCGACACTATTCTTTAGCCCCTTTTGTTAACCTCGACACCTCTCTTTCGCCCCTCTTGGTTAACCTCGACACTACTCTTTAGCCCCTTTTGTTAACCTCGACACTACTCTTTCACCCCTTTTGTTGACCTCGACACTATTCTTTAGCCCCTTTTGTTAACCTCGACACTATTCTTTAGCCCCTTTTGTTGACCTCGACACTATTCTTTAGCCCCTTTTGTTAACCTCGACACCTCTCTTTCGCCCCTCTTGGTGAACCTCGACACTACTCTTTAGCCCCTTTTGTTGACCTCGACACTACTCTTTCGCCCCTTTTGTTGACCTCGACACTATTCTTTAGCCCCTTTTGTTAACCTCGACACTATTCTTTAGCCCCTTTTGTTAACCTCGACACTATTCTTTAGCCCCTTTTGTCAACCTCACACTACTCTTTCGCCCCTTTTGTTAACCTCGACACTACTCTTTAGCCCCTTTTGTTAACCTCGACACTACTCTTTAGCCCCTTTTGTCAACCTCAACACTACTCTTTAGCCCCTCTTGTCAACCTCACACTACTCTTTCGCCCCTTTTGTTAACCTCGACACTACTCTTTAGCCCCTTTTGTTAACCTCGACACTACTCTTTAGCCCCTTTTGTTGACCTCGACACTATTCTTTAGCCCCTCTTGTTAACCTCGACACTACTCTTTAGCCCCTTTTGTTAACCTGGACACTATTCTTTAGCCCCTTTTGTTGACCTCGACACTATTCTTTAGCGACTTGAGTCGACAAGTAGAAGCGACCAAAAGGCAGGACAAAAAGTGACGAACATTGACCAAAAGGCACGACTCAAAGGATCAAGTTGAGGCCACGCCATGCTCCCGTGAAGTTCAACACCTGCTGCAGCAATTTCCGAAGCCCTGCACCACCATCTTCTTCCTTCGTGCCAGCTTCTTGCGCCTGCAGGCCATGCTTCAATTGCACTCGTCATCACGCTGTGCTGATTACGATCTCATATTGGTCTTTGGGTCTTTGGGTCTTTGGATGTGTTTTCTGATTATGTTGAAGCTCGCAGTCAGATTGGTCAAAGGGTGGCGCGAAAGGTCAAACCATGTCACGCCTGTCTCTGCTTTTCGCACTAATGGTCCACGTCATGCAGCACTGTGTCACGTAGAAGCACGGCAGTTCGACCTGCTTCGCCAATGCAAGTCATTTTCCAAAAAATCAAAGCTGAAATGGTTGTTCTTATCATATGTCATTCGAGTCAAAGAAACAAACTTAATGTAGCTTGATTCAGCTTGGTCTATTCCATTCATTTCGATGCATTTCAATGCATTTCTGATCATTACGGCGGCCGATTTCGACTTTTCGACTCACCGTGACGTGACGTGTCGCGACGTGTCTTCACTCTTGACTGGACTCTCAAAATCGGACGCCGAACCGAAATCGCCGATTTCAGCTGGGGGTACCTGTATCCTAAACTGCAGGGTTCTTAACATGCAAACCGCTTTGCAAATCATATGTCCTGACTCCGGAACTGGAGGATTGGCATGCTGCTGGGGTGTTCTGCTGGGGTGTTCTGCTGGGGTGTTCGTGGGGCTGTTTGTGGCGACCAGAGGTCTCTAAGCAGGATATGTGCAGTATTGCCAGAAGATGGACACGTCACAGATCTGCAATGTGCTCTATAACATGTGAATTTTGCGGGACGTGTGCAGTATTGCCAGAAGATGGGCACGTCACAAATCGGCAACCTGCTTTATAACATGTGATTTCTGCGGGATATGTGCAGTATTGCCGGAAGATGGGCACGTCACAGATCTGCAATGTGCTTTATAACGCTACACGCTTCACGTTTTGTACTGTTCCCTGTAGAGCTACATGTGGCACTACAGGAACCGCTACACCCTTCACATTTTGTATGTCACCTTACGAAACCTTGGACGGAGACGAAACATCAAACTAGAATCCAAAATGCTACAACAATCGCGCACGGTGACGACCGGCTGTAAATGATATACACAAACATCCAAAACACGCAGCTGGGCTGGATCTACAATATCTCGAGTTCTTAGATCATGTTCGTACTTAGATAATATCGTCATATCGTTAATCATCTTTAGACTTCAAACCAATATCATCTTTATACTAAAAACCGATCTTACATTCCATGAAAATAGTGGCACGAGGTTCCATCACACCCCTAGCCCCTCTTCCTCGGCCAATCCGGCGTCACTTCCCGCATCCCATTCGGCCTGTCGTGGATATTTTGGCGCGCATCACAGATTCACAGTCTTCCAAGGGTTGTGGTATGCGTGGATTCCATGTAGAGATCTCATGTTTATGTTTTAGCAAATAAATTAAATACAACTTTACTACAGACAGAAATCATGCAACAAGAGGTGGTATGGTTATTCACGGTCCATGGTAATACAGGCTCAATACTTTTTGATGATATCCGGTCGACTAATATCAGTTCAATGTTTGTCCCAACATGTCCCAACTAAGATAATCCAAGAATAATCTATCATATCAGGCCCCTATCATAGTTGGTGCGACGGCTGCCATACCACCTGTGTTTCTGTCCTCGCGTTTGGGAGTCCGGGCGGAAGTAACAATAGGGCGCACTAGGTAAGTCTGCGCCTTCGCAGCATGGGCAACAATTAATAAACCCATCCTTCAACTCGGCACCTAGTGAAGTTGCTGATGTTGTTCATTACGTGCCAATCATCGGAAAGATCTAGAGCTGTCAGCTGCAGCTATGGTTCGAAAGTATTTGATATTGCAAGGTCCCAGTTGCCACGATTGAAGACTTGGTGAAAATAAAGGTCAATAAAACTTGCCAAAGGAAGACCTGACACAATGATGAAAACAGTCTTTTTGACAGATTCTTCATGTTCACAACTGTGAAGAATTCACAAGTTTCTCCAAAATTGAAACAATCAAGCTCATCTTCAGCATTCCTTTTGATCGCGAGCAAAATTGGTTCGTGGAATAAGAGCCTGAACATGCCTGAACCATTGCTTCACACGTGCAAAGTGCGAGGTTTCAATGCCATTCCCCACGAACTCCAAGGACCTAAAACTGCCAAGCACCAGCAATCTGTGCCTTCGGCGAGATTGGATCCTGACGAGAGTCTTGCCAAAAATCGTGCAATTTGCTGCGGTGGGATGTTCCTCCGAAACTTTTGGCTTACTCGAAGTTCTGGACATTCTTAATACAGTAACAATCAACCAACCAAAACTTTTAGCACTGCTGGCCTTTGTCTTTCACGACCCGACTTTATCCTGCCGCTGACCAGTTCCAAGCTGGCATGAATTTTGCGAAGTCAATTTATCTCATCATGCTACAGCGGGGAAGTCAAAGTCATCCCCAGGGTCTCTTGCCGGTCTTCCCCATTGTAAACGCAATTTAGATGTGTTGTCCCGTATAGCAACATCGTTGTAACATCGGCTGTCTCTGCTTGTTATTCTAACATCGTTGTAGCGTTCCCCAACTTCGATCTCCAAAGTCTTAGTTTGCAGCAACGGACAGTTTCTCTGTCCTTGACACGGGCTTTCGTCCAGGAACTCGGACTGTAACTCTCTGCGCTTGTAGATGTCTCAGCGCAATGCTTCACGCATGGAAACATGTTGGAGTTCGTTCAGGGTGCGTTCACCTGCCTATATCTGGGGAATCTGTTGTGGTTGAGTCCATCAAACTACATCATTCGCACCCGTGGGCGCCACACTCTCACAATTGCGTTATAGTTCGCCATATATTTGTATATATATATAATGTAACAATACCAGTATCTCGAGTCGCTGCATCATGACCGAAGTTCCGACCTCCTGTAGGGACTTGAGTCCAGGGGTGGTAAACGAAAGCTAGGAGGAGAGACAGAAGAGGAGAAGCTGGACTCACCCCCAAGACGATTTCACGCAAATCAATGAGGCGTAAATGAAACAAACATCATACCAAAAAGATACATCAATTAGACCTAACTGAGACTTAAATGAAAGAAACATGATACGAAAAAAGATATCCAAATGAGATGTAAAGGCGACAAGGCAAGGGAAATGAAACAAACCTGAGACCAAAAAGAGAGATCAATGAGACTTAAATGAGACATCCAGGAGACCCGAGTGAAACAAACAGGAAACCAAAAAGAGACATCCATGAGACGCAAATGAAACAAACATGAGACCTGCAAGATACATCAATGAAAATGAGACCTAAATGAGACATCAATGAGACTTAAAACGACACCAAACAGGGACATCAATGAGATTGAAATGAGACATCAATGAGACGTAAATGAGACATCAATGAAACCTAAATGAGACCGAAATGAGACCTCAATGAGACATCAGTGAGACCTAAATGAGACCGAAATGAGACTTAAGTGTGACATCAGTGAAACCTAATTGAGACATAAATGAGCTTCAATGAGACATCAGGGAGACCGATATGAGACCTACATGAAACATAAATGACACATCAATGAGACTTAATGACCTAAGTAAGACATAAATGAGACTTAATTAAGACATAAATGAGACCTAAATAAGACATAAATGAGACCACTAAATGAGACATCAATGAAACCTCAATGAGACCTAAAAGACGGCCCGGGGGGGGGAGGGTTCGCCCGAAAGATCGGGGGAAATGAATCCGGCCACCCTGCAAAGGAAAATAGCTAAAGCTAACCAAACTCCAGCTGCTTGACGCAGCTTTCGTGAATTGTTGATGAAGCAAACCTCAAAAATGGACAATCATTATCCATTGAAAAAGCCACCATTTCTTTTTGACGGCGCAACTCTGAGTTGGGTGGCTGGAGTTCCAGTTGGCCCCACGTTTCGTGAGAACCAGGACCGGTCTGCTCCGCACATTTTCCACAAACCTCCGAGGCAGGCTCTTGCACCAACCGATTGCTGGCTTGGCAACCGTCTATGGTATATTCGGAATAATCGTATTGATCGTACCGATGATTGCTACGGGACAATGGTTAAGGGTTGATTTAGATACAGGAACGATGACGCGACTAGACTCACTCATGGTTTATTCATGGATGATTCGATGGCCATATCATGTTTGATTAGTGTTATCATATGGTGGGGTAGTGATTGTGGAACTGTTGGTTATGCTATCATAATGATGAGTCTTGGTATGATAATGGTAATCACGGGCTGAATGATAGATCCACAAAAACATAAGGCCACTATTCTTGTGAACGGTTTGCACCACCCCTTAATCGTATATCTGGGGGCAGGGTTATTAAACTGTCCATTGAGGTTACTTAACAACGGGCTACCAATGGTGAATTGTAGTTACGAACGCAGATCCGAACGGAGCTGGCACCCGCGGTGCTTCTTCCTGCCTCCAAGAGCCCATCTTCAACGAATGCATCCCTAGGCGCCAGCAAAGAACGTCGTGGCGTCACATCAAGGGCAACAATCGGCAACAATGCTATGACTGGAATAAACACCCCCATTCAAACTTCGGGAATGCCATCCATAGATTCACAAAAAATCTGACCTGTCTGGTTCCCTTTTTGCCAGCAATCAAAGCGACCCCACCATGCTACCACCCTTGATCAGAAACTGAGATGACACGGCGCAATCAACGATTGCTCAGCCATGTTTTTTGGTGACGGCCCCCTCGGGCTACGGGACTGTTGTCTGCTTTTAGCATGTTGTGAGGTGGGTGTTGGGGTGGGGCGGGGTCAATTTTCGGGCGCGCCTACGGCACTTTCTGCCCCTTTTTTGACCATGCACCGACATGTGACGTTGATAAAGTGCTGCGTTTTGCAGTAAATCTCTTTTTTCAATCGAGATATGACTCATAAAAGCCATGCAAGAGCGCCGTCGCTCCACAGGCGCCGCCACCATGTTTAGACAACGGTATCACTCGTGCACCTGTTGTCAACTGCTGCGTCTATCATTGATCATCAAGAATTCAATAGCCATTTTTAGTCCATGGAACCCATTGATTAACCATGTTTTCCGGATCTATCGTCACTAGATATTCATTACTCGACAGCCAGCCTTGATTTCCGTCATGATACGTTATACTATCATTGTACTTACTGTTGTATAATCCCATGAATCAACAACTTTACATTGCATTACAATCCGACGCAGTCATGTTCTACAAGAGGGCAAAAATAATGATTGACAACCAGGGATAACCCTATGAAAATGATCAATTTTGATGGATACTTGGAGATCCCTATGCGGTGCCCAAGACCGCTCCACTGGGTTCCCCACCGGCATCAAGCTCCCCGTGGGCATCCGATCTGAGCTGGTCCAGCCGGATCTGGTCAAGGCACCTTGAGATTGATCCTTGAAATGGTCAAACTATTGGTTTTATAAACGGATGATTGTTAAACGATTAGGAATGGTCAAACTATTGGTTATGATTGTTTTTTATTCTTGTCAAGCATATTGTTAGCGTGGTCATTATCAGCCTAATCTTTGCGATTATCTTTGCGGTTATTAGGGTCATGATGTCCATTATAGTAATTATTTAAACTTATCCTCCTGGTTTGCAGTTTTCAGTATGGTTAGTACTATGGTTACGATTAGTATTGTTATGACTATGGCTATTGTAATGGCTTAAAGCTAAATAATTGATTAATAATAGTTAAACTACTGGTTTTCTCACAACATTGCAGACTATTCAATCATGAATCATAACCTTGAAATCCTTGAATAATGTTTACTGTTGACGATTCTGAATGACTTAAATCGGCAGCGTACTTTATAAATAGTTTAATGCTGGTTCTAAATAGTCAATAAACTGCATTATACAAATTTATTGACGGACAATTGCATGATGATTAGTTGTATTGTGTGGTATTGTCTCGGCTTAGTGATGGCAAAGTGATGTGTAACAATGTAACAAATGGCGCTTATGGTGGTTTTTTGGTTCGTGGGAAGTCTTAAATATTGGTGACTGATGATGATAATTCATGATTTTTGATAGTTATTGGTGAATGTTGGTGCTTGATGATTACTGCAAATTGTTGATTGTCACTGGTGATTATTGGTGATTGATTGATGGTAAAATATTGAGGGTATGATGATCGAATAAACCCTATATTTGGGTATAGTGAAACTACTGTAGTACCATCAGTACTGATTCATTGTGGATGATCAACGGTTGGTCAATAAGTACTCGGTGTCAACAATGGATGATCCAAACCAATCAGTTTTTCTTTTGAATGGCTACTGTAACTAAAACAAAACTTACCTTGCGGCTTGCTGGATAAAAAGAAGTCAAGCATTTCATGCTGCTCGTGCAAGTTAATGAGGAAATCGTAAGGTAAGGCAGCTGGAAAATGAAATGTTTCGTTCAGATGAGCAGTTGGGTACGATTTGACGATACCTCTGATGAGACTCTCATCCAATTTTCCTCAACGCGAAAAGCTCAAGTAGAGCGGGTATCTGACCAGTAAAACCACTCCAAACATGACCAGAAACACTTGGTATCAACGATGCCAAGAGTTTGTGGTTTATCATTGCGATACATTACTCGTTACTGTCATTACTGTAAACAGAAGTATCCGCAAAGCTTCACATCCAGCAGATCCGCCAGCACCAACATCAGAGGAACCATAACCAGGCCATTTCGCACTGACTGATCTGTATGTCCACGAAGCTTGTCGACCTTGACAAACTGCAAAAAAGTTTATGGATGGCTTATCAATGGCTTTTTACGTGGAGTATTCATGGAAACTCAGTACTATGAAAAATACTGTTTTCTGTTCGCAACAATGGTTGGGTACCAATTCAGATCCCCCAAAACAGTTGCCATAGTTGCGACATCTTTCAGGAAGGGCGCTCCCTCAGTGCCAAACCGCTGGGGGTCACTCCGGCCCTGCTCAAAACGATAGAGCCCCACAATGCAGCTCAGCCATGGATAAAGCCCTCGCAATAAGCCATACACCTCGATACCATCCAGCTCAGAATTGATCAACACAATAAGCTCCAGCGTTCTGCACAAGTGCAGGACGGGTTCTTTTTCGATTCTGAACTTGGGTCCCTGCCACATGCTACCGTCTCCTTCAAAACGGCACCAGGGAAACGAGGAAACGGAGGAAATTGCCAAAGACAGCGGAACTTGCAGTTCAGGTCTGGGATCTCCTTCCACTCTTGACTCTCGACTCACAAGACTTCGGCCTCGACAGCGTCCCTCGACTACGTTCGACTACGTTCGACTTGTCCAGGCTGCGCCATCAGCGTCCTGAGGTGCTGCTACTGTGACTGTGAAGCGTCTGAAAATTCAGAGCACTGGGAGACGGACGTAGGATCTGAGGTTCTGACCAAGAACAAGTCCCCGAGCATTCACTCCAACTGGACCTTGCAAGGAATTCAGATTCAGCTTGGCATCTTGCAGCTGTTCATGTTGCCAACAAGTGTTATGAAGTTTTATCAGTTCAGTGTCTTAAATGCAGGAAGAGTTTGTTGCACCTTATGAGCATCAATTGATCACAAGACTTTGATGGGATTCAACAAGAGACGACAGGGTTCTAAAAGTTGGGTCCAAAACCAGGCAAAACAGATACAAAGACGTGGGAACATTGGGAACATGGAAGACCCAGGAATCTTTTGGGAGACCAATTGAGACTGGAACCGTTTCACGCGCGTTTCAAAATCCAACGACAGCAGAGAAGAACCGCTCGGGGTCCTGGAGGAGTCCCGGAAGACCCCTGGAGGATTTGTTTCGAGAACGGAGGGCCGAGAACGGAGAGCCGGGATAGGAGTCTTATTGAGGAACATAGAAGAAACACCTGGTGAGAAAAAAAAGTGTTTTGATTTGCTTCTCGGCTTCTTGGACGGGTCGTGTTTCTTGGCTGTTGAACACCTTATTTACGATTATTCCTCGTAGTCAAATGTCCGATGTTTTGAAGGTCAACAACTTCCCTTATCTTAATTAAAAAAGAAACAGCCTAACCCTTGTCGCCGAGGACCTCCCTTATCTTCAAAGTCTTGAATGTACCGCCCTACTTTGCCATAGACCTCCCTCTATCTCTGACGTTAAAAGCCATGGAGTGCAGCGGCGCCTGTAGCACATAGAAACCTCCTCCCTCTATCTATGAAGTGAAAGTCCGCCGCTACTTATAGCATGCACCTCCCATTATCTATGGAAGTGAAAGTCCGACTACTGCTCAGCCCATGACATCCCTTATCTGCCAAGTTGGAAGTGCAAAGTCCGCTACCTGTGCATGCCCTCCCTTATCTCTGGAAATTAGAAAGTCGACTACCAGAGCATGACCTCCCTTATCTTGAAAGTTGAAAGTCCGCTACCTTTGCATGACCTCCCTTATCTTCAAAGTTGAAAGTCCGCTACCTTTGCATGAACTCCCTTATCTTCAAAGTTGAAAGTCCGCTACCTCTGCATGAACTCCCTTATCTTGAAATTTGAAAGTCCGCTACCTTTGCATGACCTCCCTTATCTTCAAAGCTGAAAGTCCGCTACCTGTGCATGTCCTCCCTTATCTTGAAAGTTGAAAGTCCGCTACCTTTGCATGACCTCCCTTATCTTCAAAGTTGAAAGTCCGCTACCTGCGCATGAACTCCCTTATCTTGAAAGTTGAAAGTCCGCTACCTTTGCATGACCTCCCTTATCTTCAAAGTTGAAAGTCCGCTACCTTTGCATGACCTCCCTTATCTTGAAAGTTGAAAGCCCGCTACCTTTGCATGACCTCCCTTATCTTCAAAGTTGAAAGTCCGCTACCTTTGCATGACCTCCCTTATCTTGAAAGTTGAAAGTCCGCTACCTTTGCATGACCTCCCTTATCTTGAAAGTTGAAAGTCCGCTACCTTTGCATGACCTCCCTTATCTTCAAAGTTGAAAGTCCGCTACCTTTGCATGACCTCCCTTATCTTGAAATTTGAAAGCCCGCTACCTGTGCATGACCTCCCTTATCTTGAAAGTTGAAAGTCCGCTACCTTTGCATGACCTCCCTTATCTTGAAAGTTGAAAGTCCGCTACCTGTGCATGACCTCCCTTATCTTGAAAGTTGAAAGTCCGCTACCTTTGCATGACCTCCCTTATCTTGAAAGTTGAAAGTCCGCTACCTTTGCATGAACTCCCTTATCTTCAAAGTTGAAAGTCCGCTACCTCTGCATGAACTCCCTTATCTTGAAATTTGAAAGTCCGCTACCTTTGCATGACCTCCCTTATCTTCAAAGCTGAAAGTCCGCTACCTGTGCATGACCTCCCTTATCTTGAAAGTTGAAAGTCCGCTACCTGTGCATGACCTCCCTTATCTTGGAAAGTTGAAAGTCCGCTACCTGTGCATGACCTCCCTTATCTTGAAAGTTGAAAGTCCGCTACCTTGCATGACTCCCTTTCTTCAGTCCCGCTACTTGCATGCTCCTCTTACTTGAAAGTTGAAGCCGCACCTTGCGAGTGACTCCCTATCTTGAAATTTGAAAGCCGCTACCTATTGCATACCCCTTTTTTCAAGTTGAACTCAGCGACCTCTGCATGATCCCCCTTATCTTGAAGTTGAAAGTCCGACTACTTTGGGCTGACTCCTTATTCTTGGAAAGTTGAAAGTTCCGCTAACCTTGCATGACTCCCTACTTCAAGTTGAAGCCGCTACCTCTGGCATACTCCTTATCTTGGAAAGTTGAAAGTCCGCTACCTTTGCATGACCTCCCTTATCTTGAAAGTTGAAAGTCCGCTACCTTTGCATGACCTCCCTTATCTTCAAAGTTGAAAGTCCGCTACCTGCGCATGAACTCCCTTATCTTGAAAGTTGAAAGTCCGCTACCTTTGCATGACCTCCCTTATCTTCAAAGTTGAAAGTCCGCTACCTTTGCATGACCTCCCTTATCTTGAAAGTTGAAAGCCCGCTACCTTTGCATGACCTCCCTTATCTTCAAAGTTGAAAGTCCACTACCTTTGCATGACCTCCCTTATCTTGAAAGTTGAAAGTCCGCTACCTTTGCATGACCTCCCTTATCTTGAAAGTTGAAAGTCCGCTACCTTTGCATGACCTCCCTTATCTTCAAAGTTGAAAGTCCGCTACCTTTGCATGACCTCCCTTATCTTGAAATTTGAAAGCCCGCTACCTTTGCATGACCTCCCTTATCTTGAAAGTTGAAAGTCAGCTACCTGTGCATGACCTCCCTTATCTTGAAAGTTGAAAGTCCGCTACCTTTGCATGACCTCCCTTATCTTGAAAGTTGAAAGTCCGCTACCTTTGCATGACCTCCCTTATCTTCAAAGTTGAAAGTCCGCTACCTTTGCATGACCTCCCTTATCTTCAAAGTTGAAAGTCCGCTACCTTTGCTTGACCTCCCTTAAAGTTGAAAGTCCGCTACCTCTGCATGACCTCCCTTATCTTGAAAGTTGAAAGTCCGCTACCTGTGCATGACCTCCCTTATCTTGAAAGTTGAAAGTCCGCTACCTGTGCATGACCTCCCTTATCTTCAAAGTTGAAAGTCCGCTACCTTTGCATGACCTCCCTTATCTTCAAGTTGAAAAGCCCGCACCTTTGCTGACTCCCTTACGAAAGTCCGCACCTTTGCATGACCTCCCTTATCTTGAAAGTTGAAAGTCCGCTACCTTTGCATGACCTCCCTTATCTTCAAAGTTGAAAGTCCGCTACCTTGCATGACCTCCCTTATCTTGAAAGTTGAAAGTCCGCTACCTTTGCATGACCTCCCTTATCTTGAAAGTTGAAAGTCCGCTACCTTTGCATGACCTCCCTTATCTTCAAAGTTGAAAGTCCGCTACCTTTGCATGACCTCCCTTATCTTCAAAGTTGAAAGTCCGCTACCTTTGCTTGACCTCCCTTAAAGTTGAAAGTCCGCTACCTCTGCATGACCTCCCTTATCTTGAAAGTTGAAAGTTCGCTACCTGTGCATGACCTCCCTTATCTTCAAAGTTGAAAGTCCGCTACCTTTGCATGACCTCCCTTATCTTCAAAGTTGAAAGTCCGCTACCTTTGCATGACCTCCCTTATCTTGAAAGTTGAAAGTCCGCTACCTTTGCATGACCTCCCTTATCTTGAAAGTTGAAAGTCCGCTACCTTTGCATGACCTCCCTTATCTTGAAAGTTGAAAGTCCGCTACCTTTGCATGACCTTCCTTATCTTGAAAGTTGAAAGTCCGCTACCTTTGCATGACCTCCCTTATCTTCAAAGTTGAAAGTCCGCTACCTTTGCATGACCTCCCTTATCTTGAAAGTTGAAAGTCCGCTACCTTTGCATGACCTCCCTTATCTTCAAAGTTGAAAGTCCGCTACCTGTGCATGACCTCCCTTATCTTGAAAGTTGAAAGTCCGCTACCTTTGCATGACCTCCCTTATCTTCAAAGTTGAAAGTCCGCTACCTTTGCATGACCTCCCTTATCTTCAAAGTTGAAAGTCCGCTACCTTTGCATGACCTCCCTTATCTTCAAAGTTGAAAGTCCGCTACCTTTGCATGACCTCCCTTATCTTCAAAGTTGAAAGTCCGCTACCTTTGCATGACCTCCTTTATCTTGAAAGTTGAAAGTCCGCTACCTTTGCATGACCTCCCTTATCTTCAAAGTTGAAAGTCCGCTACCTTTGCATGACCTTCCTCATCTTGAAAGTCGAAAACGAAATCCAGGAAAACCTCCGGAATTATAGGTTCCTTTTGCCAGACCCCCCCCGACCCCCATACCCTCACTACGTTCGCCAATAAACACTTCAGCCTAGCCTATCGGCTGGCTTTCGTAATCCGCCGACCCCCGCCGAGAGCAGGGGGAGCGCGTTGGAGAAGAAGCAGTATAGCACCCAGCAACCCGCGGAAACGCTCCAGTGAGCATCTTGGTTCCCGGCCCAACCGTTGTCCAGGATTTTACGCGGGCGACGCATATGTGGGCTGTATCATTCTTCTGAGGGGCAGGCGCACCTATTGCGGCCACATGTTGTCACATCCGTCCATGTTTTTCACATCTTGTTTTTTTCCCAGTCAGAAAGCGACGTTTGCCCACGGACGCGTTCCCCACTGGCGAAGCGTCTCTTTTTGGCGCCCCGGGGTAGGGTTTCCAAGAGGTTCCAGCCACCCCTATTTTGGCCATGTTT